AAATGGTTCGGACCATGGGAAGTCACTTCTGCCGTTGGAGACGACCCCGCAGGTCCTTCCTTCGTGATCAACATTCCACCACACCTTACAGTGCATCGGGTCTTCCACGCATCGAAGCTGGCCATCTACACGCCACCTTCAGTGGACGAGTTTCCTGGACGTCGATCACAGGATCCGCCTTCCATGGACAGACATCAGGAAGTGGACCGAGTCATCACCCACCGCAAGTATGGCAACAAGCCAATGCAGTACAAAGTCACATTCAAGCAATGTGCGCCTAACGACACTCGGTGGATCTCTAGTGCAGACTTGCAGAATTCTGCACCCCTTATCTTCGCCAACTATGAGAAGACACAACTTGCCAAGGCAGCAGCTCGTCCCACCCGACCCATTCCGGTATCGGACAGACAACTCCGCCCTCGCAAGTAGCTCGGTCTTTTAAGAGGGGGAGTGTGTTACATCTTCGACGCCACACGGGTCCTACCGGACCCGACATAGGGGTAGAAGGACACAGTAGGGCCAAAGGCCCTACCTTGGGGGGTACTACAGGCCGTAAAGGCCTCACATTGGACCAGACCCGACGGGCAGGCCCAAACGACATTACCGTTTGGGCCTGGCGGCGCTCTTGAGGCTGCCGCCCGCCGGTTGGGGCTGAACCGTCCATCTGGACGGTTCAGGGCACGGCCAGGCCTCGCAGCAGTGAGGCCGGCCTCTGCCCCACCGGTATAAAGAACCGGTCCAGCCTCAGTTGAAGGATCGACCTACCGGCACTCTACCGGTACGGTATGGTACAGTGCACATTAGCGCTGGCGCTATCTTTAGCGCAGGAGCAGCGCAGCGCAGCATTAGCGCAGCAGCGGCGAGCGGAGCAGCAGCAGGGCGACTGAGCCAGACCGGCGGCCATCGCCGCCTGAGGTATCAGGGAGCCGGAGGTTCTCTCCCCCCTCCCATCGTCAGTCCCCTCTCTCTCTCTCTCTCCTCCCCGGCTCCTCCTCCTTCTTCTTCTTCTCCTTCTTCTTCTTCTTCTTCTTCTTCTTCTTCTCTTCAGACTCCATCTTCTTCTTCTTCTTCTTCTTCTTCTTCTTCTTCAGGTTGGAGACTTATACTAGTTGGACAGAGATCAGTGTTGGGCTTCGGTGGTATGAGACTGTGGTACTTACCGGACTGGAGACTTGGAGATTGTTGGGGTTGATACTTGGCAGCATCACAGTTCGGACACCGGTTACATTTGGACTCTATATCTCCGACATTGGTGACTGATTGTCCTCGACATTTTGATCTTGTTGGATGACATTTTGGATTACCATATCGGTGACCTATCGGATTCTATTTCGGTAACCTACCGGTGCTGTCTACCTCCCCCACCTCCTTCGTCTCTCCTCCCACCTTTCATCTGTGTATGAGTATGGGATCTGGGCATCGTCCATGCTTGGCCCAGACCCCACCATCTCACGATTGTATGKGTGTGGAGTGATTCTTGAGTCAGTCTATGTGAGTCAGTCCGTTTATCAGACTTCCGCTGCATACATGCTCATCCTACATTGGTTGATCTTTGGTTCTGCCCATACTCATTGAAGTATGTAACATTAGGTCACTCCAAACCTTCCTGTGAGGGATTCAATAAGATCTCTTGAGCTCTCCTGACTCTTCCAGCTTAATTGCGGGGTTGTGTGATTGCTTTGGGGAATGAGCTTGTACGGCGCTAACACGTGAAGGAGAGCGAAATGCAAGGAAAATGAACAGAAGCGAGATGACAATATTCAGATTGCACAATCACATTGAAAGCCAGATCGTATCACCGTGCTCGGAAATGAAACGGTTTTCACCTGTTAGCAGTAGCGAATGCAGATCCCAGGGCTCAATCCCTAGACTTTACCTTACCTGTGTACATTACCTGCGTCGACCCCAGGAGTCGAACCCACGACCTGTGTCTGTTCCCACAGTTGGTCGACTGTCATGGGGTCTGTAGGAGGTACGGGTTCGATCTGTAGACCTGTCGAGTAGAGGTCTTAGGAAGTTCTAGAAGTCGTAGCTGTAGGGTTTCTGAAGGGTCAAGGTCGTAGCTGCTACAGTCCAGAAAGGTCAAGGTCGTAACTGCTACAGTGTCCGAAAGGCCAGGACTAAAGTTTCTAGAAAGTCCTAGTAGTGGCCTTTC